CTCAGCTCAGCTCAGCTCAGCTCAGCTGAGCTCAGCTGAACCGAACCGGAGCCATGCAGGCCTTCCTCAAAGGCCCGTCTTCCATCAGCACCAAGCCCCCCGCTGCCAAGGAGAGGGGTGCGGCCGGCGCAGCGGGGAGCAGCGGGGAGGGCAAGAGGCTCAAACCCATCCCCTGGGTGGAGAAATAGTAAGGGCTCTTCTGGGGCAGTGGGGTCGCTGGCCGGGGTGGCAGTGGCTGGGCGGGGGGGGGGGGGGGGCGGGGGGGGGGGGGGGGGGGAGGAGGAACAAAACAGGGCAGCAGCAGGAAGCAAAGGGGGTTACAGCTGTAGGTGTCCCCGCTTTGGAGAATAGCTTTAACTTTTTCAGTTAAGGAGAAAACGAGCACGGTGAGCTGCTATAAGAGCCCTTTGTTGGTGTTACCGAGAGGATAAATGCCCCCGTTGCCCACGTCAAGTGGTGCAGTTTCATCGCTGTGGCTTGGTGCAGGAGTGCGTTAAATGCTTCGGTTTTGAGAAGCCTTTATCAGCTCACGAAGTGGTAAATTATTGTAGTCTGCAATACAGTTCTGCTTCTAAAAACAGCTCAGGCTGGTGTTTACAATAGAAGTAGACAAACAGCTTCCTGAGAAATTACATCACTTCAGTAATATGGACCAGAGGCATTAGACAGAGTTCCTGTTATGATTTTGACCTCAACTATAAAATTCCCTGTAATTCTCCAGTACCCGATGTAATCAGGAAGGGAGATGTTTTTTCTCAATTTCAGTTTTCTTCTGAAACCGTTAGCTAATAAATTGCGGTTAATGTCTTTTTATTTAGTCGGCCCAAAAATGTGGATGAAGTTGCCTTCCAGGATGAAGTTGTTGCTGTGCTGAAAAAGTCCTTGGAAGGTGCTGATGTGAGTGTAATGATAACATCTACGCATTCAGTATGATTAGGCGGAAACTTCAGCCAGTGGTAACAAAAACTTCTCCTTCCTAACTTGGCAATGATAATTTTTACAGTGGTACTTTACAAACAAGCAAATTGGCTTCCTTGTAGTATATTGTGATAGATGTGTAAAATTTGTGATGTTTCCAGCCCTCTGAACATTGTAAAATTGTCAGCTCTGTGATGCAGTTTGGAATTTCTCTGGAAAAGCTTAATTGGTAAACTTACTGTTAATAGTTTCAAATCTGGAAGGGCTTTTGTTGTATCTACACTACTGTTCAGCTGGTACTGTAGTACAGTACTTTTGGCATTTGTGTTTAAAAGGAGAGGAGAAATTTTTGTTTCATAGAAAAGTCAGGATTGCCAGTCATTCCTAAGTAGTTCTAGTGATCTATCGGTGCTTCTGTGAAACTGCTAAACATTAAAACAAATATACTGTTTGATAATGAGGGAAGTTTAAGTGCCAGGTCTACTACTCAGATAGCGACCCCCAAACTTTTTAGGTTAAAGTTACCAAGTAAGTCTTTTGGGCTTTAAAAAGCTAAGTATGACAATTTCACCAACTTTACTGCAGTGTTGGCATCTGTGACTTAAGAATATAAAGAGGATGAGCAGAGCTTTTTCACTTGCTTTTGTTCACACTTGCATTTGGATACAAATTTAGTAAATATGCAGTATGAATGATGGTTATTTCCTCCAAACCAGGTGATGGGGAGGTGGAGGGACTGAAGGGAGAAATAAAGTAGGTAGCCAAGAGATGGCTGTGCTTTCTTGCAAATCTGTACAATTCCTTCCCTTTGTACATGCTGAGACTTTTTTTGCTTCACGTTTCACCTAGAAGGGTCGTTCTTGTGCTCAAAAAGCTGTTTCTGTTTTCATGGACTGCTAATGCCAGCTGAAGTGGTTGGTGGATGTTCTGAAAATGACATTTGTGATATGGCTGGCTGTTCATCAAGAGCTAAAAGTAACTATTTGGACTTTTCAGAGTTTTATGCAAGAAGCCTTTCACTTGTAGTGTGCTCTGATGTGCAGTGTGCACAGGTAGTCTTTGGTATTTGCAAATTCTATCTTATGAGAATTTACTTTGCAGTTCTGTTTTTGACTAATATGAGTCTATTTCTACCTGAAAATACTAATTTAATCAGAACTTGCAAAAGCAGAAGTACTTTGAGCATAGGGAGCCAAAATGAAGCTGGTACGACAGAACTAGGAAAGGCTTGTATAATTCCTTTCTTTAGTTCATGTCTCCAGGTTCAGTTTGCTTTGAGAGTGCTGTTGTAATGTGACCTTGTCATGTAATGTTGTACCGATAGAAATCTGGATTTCAACAGCAATGCTGCTATATTATAATATTTGTACAGCTGAGGTAATTAGTAAGGAACTGTTAACAGCTAAGGAGAAATGAGGTGCTGCCACCTATTCTGTCTGGACATATCAGTCATGTAAGATCGCTTAGGTGATGGGTTATGAAGTTCTATTTTGAGCAACAGCTATTTAAAACCTTACAGCTTCTAGATCAGCAATGTTTCTCAGATTATAAGCCTAGTACACTTGTGTTGACTTTTTGCCTCCTGAGTTGAAAAGACAAATTATAACTTCTGCTTACGGTTACAAGCTTTGTAGTTTGCCATAGCTACCCAAACTCAGCAAGGCATTTGAGAACAAAATCATGCAAGTACTTTAAAATATTTGACGCTTTTAAAATTTTTGATGCTTTTAAAATTTGAACATTTTTATTCATTCTTGAAAGGACTCGTTACATCAAAAAGGCAAAAGTGTAATTTAAACTCTGAGGTGGCTGGTACTTATTTCAGAAGTTCTTATTGAATTTGGAGATCTGAGGACATCAAAGAAACAGCTGTGACAACACTGTAGGTTTGTGTAATGTGCTTTATTTAAACGTTAGTGTTGAAAATTGAGAGCCAGTCCTTTGTTGATTGGCCTGTAACTATTTGTGGGCCTTGGTTTGGGAGCTGTTAGACAGAGCAGGACTTTTAAGTCCCTGATATATCTCCATCTGTAATAGCAAGCATCTGTCATGTTATAAACTGGGGAGACCAGAGCCCAAGTGGTTTTGAACTGGGGAAATTGATATCTGTCTGCCAGGACTGTGGAGGAGTTGTTGCTTTTTGCAAAGAAACTGACATGTGTCATAGTATTCTTTAATTTTCGTTTACTTGATGACTGATTTACTTAATAACTGAAAAGAGAGTTAGGTGTAGGATTATCATTGCAATTTACATCTTGATTTGTAGTGAGGCTTCTAGAAAGGGACTTGGGGTTTGCGCTATATGTGGTAACTTTCCCATAAGCAGGATGATGCCTGCAGGTATCCTGCTTACCCCTGGCAAGCATGGAAAAATGGATAACCAGATCAAGTTGCAGTCTGTTTAAAAATACTGCCACAGTTACATAAAGGATTAGGTTGTGCTTGGTGAAAAAGTAGTGTAAATACTGGTGATAACTTTGGTAAGAAACAAGCATAAAAGAGGTTGAAACAGAAACAGTAGCAAAGTATGGGTTTAATGGAATTAGGAAACAGATTCTTATTAAAACTTTTTACCTGCTAATGCTTGTTTTGAAAACTAGTAGAATGTGAATTAGCACAGAGGCATGAAATTATGCATCTCCACGAAAATGTCTACCCTTGCAGTGTGCTAACCTAACCCGGTTGTTGGTGAATTTTTAGCTGTCATTCAGTAAACATTTCCTCTCCCTGGAGCCTTCCTAAAAGATATAGGGGGATAATAATGTTGTAGTATCTAATTAAACTTGAAAAAAGGTTTCTTAGTACTGAATGCTGTTTACTTTTTAGTAAGTAGGGAAGCAAGCAATGAATGATTGGCAGAAAGAGCAGGCAAAACTTGAAATGGACTTATCTACTGTAAATTGATTAAAATTCTTCTATCTGTACTTTTCAGTACATACACAGTTGAATCTGTTCTCTGTGTGTTATCTTAGTTGTTAAAATGGGATGCTTGTTACCAAACCAGTCTGTGTCTATTTCATTTTCTGATTATGGATTGTGTACTCCTGCATTTTTCTCTGCTCTTTGGATGTCTTTGGTTTTGCTGTTCCCATTCTGTCTGCATTGCTTGCTATATTCAGCATAACATTCTCTAATCTAATTTTAGTTGACTCTTTTTAAAAATAGAACATTTATTAAGGGCTGGAAATCAAGTCAGACTGAGAGGTTTGTCTTTTTGCTATTGATCAGAAGGGACTCTTGGATTCTTGTTCTAAGAACGTACAACTGGAATATTCCCTCCTGTCAAAGGCAGCAGTTTTAAAGTGCAGCCTGATAATTTGTAAGAGGGATTACTTGAAATAGTAGTAGAGAAAGCTATCACTCTTATGCTAATTAGAAAGCTTCTTGATTTCAGCCAAAATTTAGTCATGGCTAACATACAAATTCGGTTTATGCCAGCTTTGTTCTTTGTCCCTGTGTTGCTCTGATATGTTTATGGAGATCAGTCATATTCCCTCTCAGCTTTTGTTTTGCTGAGCTAACAAAATCAAACTCTCTCTCTCTCTTTTTTTTTTTTAAGAGTCACTTCTCATAAGATCGGCTCTTCACTCTTTTAATCATCTTTCCCAGTTTGGATTCATCATCCTTGACTAAGGGTGACGTGAACTGCATGTAGCTTTCCAGATGAAGTCTTATTAGCCCCATGTTAGTATTAGTAATTTTCCATCTGTATTGAAACTGCACATCCTAGGACCACGTGTTACACAGGCTTATACTGTTCCTCTGACTGACAGACAAAACAAAGTCAGCTTGGATTCTATTCCAGCTGATGAATTCCAGACATCTAGCGGATATTTAGTTATATTCTCAAACTGTGAGATTTTATGCTTTGTGCTGCTAAACGTCTCCCTATATTATTACTGTGGTCTTTGCTGTGTTGCTTTGATTTTCCTGTGTCAGCATATTTCTTTAATGCATTCCTATATTTCGTGCTGCGGTTATTAATTACATTATTTGAAAGATCAGTTAACCTAATCTCTTTAAGAAATGCTACTGGTCTCCTCCTTTGAAAAAATCCTTAGATGGATGTAGAAATTTGCCGGCACTATGCATTCCAGTCAGTCGTTGCAAGCGTCTCTGTGATTAGTGTTAGGGTATGTCTGCATTGCACTCACTGCAGTATAGTGCAGACATTCACAAGCTACTTTGTACCTACTGCAGTGGAGTTAGTGGGAGCACAGAATTCTCAGCACGGCTTGAAAAGGCAGTCTGGGGAGCTGAGAAAGTACGGGATAGTTAACCTGTGCCAAGTTTTGTCACAGCTGCACTGCTAGTAGTATCCAGACTGTTTGAAGGGCATCCTTGGCTAAATTTGCCTGTCACTGCAGTCATAACAGTGAGTTCTGTAGGCTTTAGTGATCTCAGACATGACCTGGAAGAAAGATATCAAAATAAATTACAAATTGAAGTATCAATTTTGATAGAACATGTGATGGTGCCACCAAATAACGGCTTGTTCATGCTGTGTTATAAACAGCAACTGTTTGTCTTCCTTTAGAGTACTGTGTGCAATGACCTAGAAGTGAACGACTTGATATTATTTACCAGGAGGAGGAAGTAGTTTCTGTTCTGTTAGATGCTCAGATTTTCAGTAGGTTTTCCTGTTTGTGGTTTGTTTTGTTTATTCGCTGCTTTTAAAAATGGTGCCTTGCTGTTTCAGCTTCCCAATCTGTTGTTCTATGGCCCACCTGGAACTGGAAAGACTTCTACTATTCTAGCAGCTGCTAGAGAACTCTATGGGTAAGCTGGAATTAAGTTGCTTTGGTGTAATTGACTATCACATGTCTTCTAATCATGTGACAGAGTGCCTCCGGTCATTGCCTGTTCTTATGTAGCTTCTAGGTCTTTTTCAGGAATATCTTCACATTCTAATTCAGCTCTAACGTGAAATTTCTTTTTCATTTGTCCTGTCACAAGTCATTGATTTCTGTTACCAATATAGACTTGCAACACTTGAGACTAGCAGCCATGTAACCCTATAGCAAAGAGTATGAAAAGAAATGGCTTGCAACTTTGTAAAGGAATTCCAATTTCAATGGTATATTCCGTAAGTTGTTAGCTACACATAGATCTCAAAGCACTTCATAAAATGTGTGAATCGTAGCCTTTCCCGTTATGCACCATTGAATTGTGTCTGGAAGTAATATTGGGAGTCAGACTAAAATTCAGCCTGTGTATGTTCATCAGCTCACTTGTAACACTTGTGAGTTTTTGAGTAGTGAATTCAGTGACCCACAAGCAAAAAATGGATGAGAAAGTGGGTTGGTGTTATGAGCAAATCTAATGTTGACTTTACCCCTCCCCCCACCCACCATTGTCATCTTTAATTTTTGGCTCATGTTGTTTTTTGGAAAGAACCTCTTCTAGTTGAATAGTAGAAAGATAACTCCGCATTGCGTGTCCATTTGAATTCCCAGAACTTAAAATCCGCTGTATTCTCTTCTCTCTCTTTTTTTTTTTTTTATCAGAGGTGCTGCTGTATAGTACTGCTGCTAAATACTGCCTGTATTATACTTTCTAGATATTTCTTTCTGGTAGTATTGTAATGGCAGAGCACTGCCAGTGACTGTATTTAGAAATTTTACTTGTTCTTCCACATTGCTCACAGCATATAAGTAGAAAGGCATATAATATAGTGCTCTGAACTTGTGAAGCCATCTTCCTACTTTTTTTTTTTTTTTTCCTGGATAACTGATGTAATTTTACACTTTCATTGTTTTCTGGGAGGCAGTTGTAAAAATAGGTAACAGAAATTCATACCTAACATTTAATGATCTCCATTTAACTGTCTTTTAACAAAGTATGTTATTTAGTAATGCTGGCAAAAACAATACCTGCCATTCAAAAAGGCCAGAAGGGATGTTGATATACTTCGTAATATATCATTACAAGAGTTAGCAGCTAACATGTTACAGTAAAAATTTTGCAGGCCTGAATTATTCCGGCAAAGAGTCCTTGAGTTAAATGCTTCTGATGAGCGTGGAATACAAGTGATTCGGGAAAAAGTGAAGGCTTTTGCTCAGCTAACTGCGACTGGAAGCCGTTCAGAGTAAGTGCTGGATCAAAGCTAGCTCTGTTGGATGGACTTTCTTGCTTAGGACAAAGCATGTAGTTGGGTGGGTTTTTTTAGGTTAACTTTATAATTTATAATATAAATGATGGGTCAGCACTGCCCAGAAGTTTGCAATACACACAGTGCTTTGGCTGAGCTTTGACTTTGCACAATTTCATGCTGAGAGTTTGAATACCTGGAAGGAACTTTTACTAGTGCTGTTAGAGAGCAGCAGACAAGGAAAACCCCAAAAGATGAAGCCGCCTGGATTTGGTGATATGTTGCTGCTTCTGCAAATGTTGTCTGACTACCATATAAAAGCTTCTTTGGGTAAATGGTGGTGGAAATCACTTCCCTAGTACCTCTACTCTGCAGCATCTTATACAAGATCAGTGGTAGTCTGTGAGGAGATTCTGGTGTTAGGTGGTGAGAAGCCCTGTACAGGTGAAGCCATATGTGTGGAAAAAACAGATTGTGGAAAGTAGCAGGAAGAAGGAGTGTGCTAGGGCTATCTGGCAAGAAATGGTCTTGTGTACTGAAGTTAGTCTGTTGCAGTGTTCTTTGAAGTTCAGGGAATCAGGAAGCCTGTAAAAAGAAGTGCTGCATTAGTTATTAAAAGAAGAAACTTAAAGCAAGAATACGTATTTTAGAGGACTTCTGCAGTACTCACGTGTTGGTCTTTCTAGGGGAGCTCAGTCCCCCCTTCCTACAAATATTAGTCTGTTATCTAAAAATAATTGAAAAATACTGAACCTCTGAATATGTTCTATTTATCCTGTATAAATACTTAAGTAAAATATGATGTGCAGTCAGGTTTTTTAAGCTTGGTCTATACATTGTATGTCTCTTGGATAACAGATTTCTTATTTTTCAGTGGTAAAGTTTGTCCTCCTTTTAAAATTGTAATCCTGGATGAAGCAGATTCAATGACTTCAGCAGCCCAGGCAGCCTTAAGACGCACAATGGAAAAAGAATCCAAAACAACACGTTTCTGCCTTATTTGTAACTACATCAGCAGGTATGTGTGGAATTTGTTGCTTATTTGGACTGTTTGCTCTTCCTATTCTGTAGTCTTTTTTTTTCTCCTTTTTTTTTTTTTCTTCTTCCCTTAGAGGTTGACACCTAGTTTTCATAGTTAATAGAGATGTAACTATGTGAATACAAGCCTGAAGACAATGTTTAGGTATTGACTTTTATTTTTTACTGTGTTGCAGTTTTAAGGTTATGTTGCCTTTTTCTGCTTTGATAGCTTTGTCTGTATGAACTTGACCCATGCATTCATTTACCAAGCACTTACCTTCCTTTCTTTCAGAATAATTGAACCCTTAACATCTCGATGCTCCAAATTCCGCTTCAAGCCTTTGTCAGACAAAATCCAACAGCAGAGGCTATTGGACGTTTCTGAGAAGGAACATGTGAAAATCAGTAGTGAGGTGACTTCATGGTTGCTATGTAATTTTATTGCTTAATCCAGTGCATAATTGCATTACTGTGAAAGGGACTAAGTCAGCATGCTTTTCCAGACTGCTCAATTGTATTAAATACAATCTAGAAACTCATTTGGATATTATTCTCCTTCCATAGATGGGATGAGTTTCTTCCTAAAACTGGAGAAATATCCACCAGAGAAAATTGAAGCAAAACTGTAGGGCGCTTTGTTCTGTGCTGAGTATACTTGGCATTAAACCGTGCTTCATTCTGAAATTGCCAGCACACCTTTATATTAGTAGAGAGGTTGCGTTGTACTGCGTGTATTGTGCCCGTCTGTGACCTAAAGATGCTTTAGGCACTACTTGACGTTTTAAAATCAATGTGCTGGGAAAGTATACTGGATTTTAATTAACAGTGAACATATAACTTGGCATTTTCTGACATTGTTTTTCAGGCAGTATCTTACCTTGTTAAAGTATCAGAAGGGGACTTAAGAAAAGCAATTACTTTTCTTCAAAGTGCCACTCGCCTAATGGGTGGGAAGGAGATCACAGAGAAGATAGTCACTGAAATTGCTGGGGTAAGCTATGCTTTACAATTTCTCCTGTAATTAGTTTGAAAAGCATTTGTGTAGTAAGTGTACTTGCTACCTGTATCTACCTTTGCTCAAAGTTTGATTAAAAAATTGTTTTATACCCATCAATTAGTGTTGTGGTATGGTACCGATACACCATGCACTAGAATTTTAAAGACTGCCTGATTCTGTACACTTACCACATAGCAAGTTTCCAGCAACTTCCACCGTAAGTCAAGGGAAACTGTAAAATAGCCTTATAATTCAAAGTGAAGTTGAAATATTCTGCCCATGAATGCAAAATGTATTGCTTTTTCTGGGACAGTAGACTAGAACGTCTTTTTGGTGCTTGTATACGTGTGTGTGTGTGTGTGTTTATATGTGTGTGTATATATATAAAGTATGCATCATTGCGAAATATGGTTTGGAAACACCACAGGGGAATGACTCTCAGTAGCAGCTCATTTTCAACTTAACGTTCAGTGACAGCATCTCTTCAAGGATCTGTGTAGATTTTGCTTTTTAACAAAACAGCAGTGATTTCTTCTGGAATGACATAGATAATACTGACAGGGAAAGGAGAAACCTGAGAGGAAATGCATTTAATAAAACTTGTGTGAAGGTGTTCCTATAGCAGCAAAACACCCATGAAAGCAAGAAATGTGAGATGAGGAGCTGAAAAATAAATGAGCTTTAATGATGGACACACTTCCCTTGAAGGTGCTACCATCATAGCTGATTGTAAGGGTTGTGAGGTTTTCACTTTGATGGAACCAGAGGCAATTGCTACTGTGCATGTTTTACAGAACAGCTTTAAACAACTTTCTCAGTGAACTCGTCGTTCAGTTTTGTGTATCTAGCTGTAGAAAAGAGCTGGATTTCACTTACAGATATCTGTAAATCACAGTTTCTAAGAAACCTGGCAGAAGTTGGCCGTAATGATAGGAAAGAGAAGCATGAAATTCCATTATTGAATAATGCTTGTCTAAACTAAAGAACCCAACTTTACGTCTTCATGAAGACTTCCAAGTTCTTGGTCGTACATAACTCTTGTGACCCTGGAGTGACCTTAGTACAAAAGATTAATGAAGAAGCTTTGAAACCAAACTGTCCAGACAGTCAGCTGACAGGAATGACAGTGAGTAGAGGGGAGAATGTGGGCAGTGCTGCCCTGTTCAGAGCTAAATAATGGCATCTGACAACTTTTTTTTCTTCTGATTTGTTGTCTGATCTTGTTGCATTGGGCTTTTTTTATATGTCCCTGGTGTGTCACTGGAGAGAAAACTGATTTGCTGTTTTGCTTAGGTGTAGAATGGTACAGAAAGCATTGGATGATCTAATTGTTGAAGTAGGTCCTCCACTTAGTGTCCTGAATAAGTGATTGTGTGTTGGATTTATGAAGGTGACTTTGACAATTCACTATCATTATATAGTTTTTATTTTAATATCACCAATATAGGACAAATATTACAGCCTAGATCTCACTCCTAAAATTCAGCTAGTCTGTCTTATGTACTTGCTTGAAAGTGGTTGGGTGTGTAGAGGAATGAAATGCTAAAATGGCCTCCTTCGTAAACAGTCTGTATCTGTTACTGTAAGCATCGGCTTCAATTTTAAGTTTACAAAGTTGAAATTAAGAAATGTAATTTCTTGTTACAGGTCATCCCTAAAGAAACAACTGATGAGCTGCTATCTGTCTGCCAGAGTGGTTCGTTTGAAAAACTGGAAATGCTGGCAAAGGTAGAGTCCTCTTAGTGCTCTAGCCTGGATATTTTTCTAGGTCGCTGCCCTTTGAATCCTTTGTTGCTGGGCTGCAGCTGAAGAACATTTGGCCTCAGGTTGGTTAGGATGCACGTTTCGGGAAGTGTGTCTTTTACCAGTTAGTACCCTGATCTTTCTCTTCTGAGGAAGACTGTCAAAGCTGCACGATTCCCTACCAATGTGACTCTGGCTTTCTGCTGAGTTAAACTGATGACATGTGGAGCTGTTAGGCTGAATTAGGCAGAGTAGGAATTCCTAGCGAGATGCTTGGCTCAGTCCTTCAGAACTGCGTCTTCAGTGGACTGGACTGGTCTCTGGACTAGTCACCTTCTTCGTTACACAGAAGCTATGTTAGATGAGAAGTATCTGAATAAAGCTGTAGTAAATCTTCAGGTTTAAAATATTTCATGTTAATCTTACAGTACACTAGTGAGTAAGTTTGTCTTACAAACTGCAGTGACTTAAAATAGATCTTGCTGGAGAAGGCACAAGCTACTGGTTTATAGAGGTGGATTTATTTTCTTTAATATAGAAATAGTTCTTGCTCTCTTTGAAGAATGGGAAATTCCTAATCTTCTGAGTTTAAAGGGACTCTCAGACAGTCTTGAACTGCATTTTAAATCAAGGAGTTGTCCCTGACAGAGGGGAGCATGCTGTGGTACCACTCTCCTGGTGAAATGTTCCATGCCTGTATGAAAAAAGGCAGTATTGGTCGGCCTCCTGCTTTTTACCTGGCTGAACCTCATTGGGTGTTTTTGGCAGGACCTCTGGTTTTGAGTCTGGATTTATTCTCCTGTAAACTTGCAGCAAATGTTGGAATTGTTTTGCCAGGATTTGTGCAGGTGTCGCTGCTTTACACTTTCACATTTACTTATCATATCTAATATGTGTTGATCTTAAGAGGTGAGGATACGGATTTTCTAAATCCTTAGAACTGGTATAGTCTTTCATCAAACCATGATCTATCTAATGTAGTAGTTTGGAACTGTTCTCCAGTTCCTAGAGTAGGTGGGGGGGGTGTTGTTTCAGATATTAGTGCTCAATGTGCAGTTGACACAATTTGAATGCGTGCTTCTGTAAAGCATGGGTGTATATTTTGCTGTACAGAAAAATAAGGTTGCACCAACTCTTTTGCTGTTTTTGTGAACTTCTCTCTGCCTAAATGGCTTCGTGGACTACTGTTCTCAATATTTGCTGGTTTTGTAGCTGGGCACTACTGATTTAAAAAAAAAAAGAAGCTATCTTTATTTGCCGTGGTTTTTAATTTATTAAAAAAGTTTTGGCCTTACAGATCTCTGTATGCCTGAGGCTAGCAACTACCAGATGAAGAAAATAAATCAAAGTAGGTGGCACTTTAAAATGTGAGAGCTGTGTAACTGCCACATGATGCTGTGGATGCTAAGCTTTCCTAATTTTAGAATAAGATTGGACAGGTTCAGTGGAGGTTGTTAAATGCTTAAAATGTCTTTAGCTCACAAAATCCCCAAGATGTAAATTGTCAGGAGCCGGAAGAATATTTGGGCAAAATTATTGCTATATGCCTGCCATGTTCTCGCAGTCTTTCCTAGGTGCTTGCTTTGGGTCACTGTCAGGCAGGGTGCTGGACCATATACAAACTACTGACTTGTCCTCTAAATTGTAAACATTCCATAATAAATTTCAGTGCAGTCTTCCAGTTCAGACAGAATTTTTCAGATTGGTTTTCCAGTTTGTGGTGTTTGTGCTGCTGAATTATTTCCATTTTCTTCTATCCCTGACACAGAATCTCATAAATGAAGGGTATGCTGTTGCTCAGCTTGTCAACCAGCTGCACGATACTGTTGTTGAGAGCGAAGATTACAGTGACAAGGAGAAATCTGTCATAGTTGAGAAACTTGCGGTAAGTCTGTAGCTTGGGTTAAAAAAAAAACCCCACATAAATCTCTGGCAATATTAGCCATATTATATTGTTCTAATGCTGCTCAAGCAAGAGGTTTGTGGGTTTGGTTTGTTGTTTTTTATAATATTTATTGAGACGGAAAATTAAAGGCAAGCACTTAAATTGGGAACTGCAAAATGCACATTTTTGTTCTGGTGTGTAAAATCTACATTTTCAAAAAAAAAAGTTAATTCACTTGCTAAATTGTGAGTGAGAAGACGACAGCTGTGGTGGAGGTTTTGCTAAATTCACTGAAGAAAGGCAGATAGCGTTGGCGACCTGCAGAGCGATGCTCCCAGCAGTTCGTTGCAGTGCGAATGGCGCGTCCCTTCCTGTGCACACACCGTCCCTCGTGGCCTCCTCAGGAGGATGGAGGCTGCATGGGTACGGCGTGTACGTGATGTGTGGCTGCTGGAGACGTCGTTGCCAATGAAGTAAACAGCTGGGAAACTTCACCTTGGTGCTCTCCATTGTGACCTAAGAGACAGCTGTCTTCAGCACCACCATTTTGAGAGGGTCTTACCTTCTCTTTTCTGTTTGCAGGAAGTAGACAAATGCTTGGCTGATGGCGCTGATGAATACTTGCAGTTGATGGGCCTCTGCGCCCTTGTGATGCAGCAGCTAACGCAGAACACCTAACAGCTGCAACAGGGGCTGGCAGCGGAGTAGAGCAGCTCTTTGCTTCATGGATGGCTGATGTTCTGAGAGCAGGGACCCGTGTACTTTTGTACTGTTTTTTGCAATAAAAGGACTGCTCAGCAGTTGGAAAAGCTCGTGCTGGAATGCTTGAATGTTTTTTACGCTAAGTTAAAGAGATCTCTGGCTGCTGAGGGGCCAGCAATCCTCCCAAATTTTCTTCTAGATTTACACATGGAAAGGTAAATGCATCAAAAAATGCACATATGTATTATACTTAGTCACAGCATAGAAAAAAGAAGATGAGTTGTTCCTTTCAGCCTGTGTTGCTTGGTTTTGAAAATGAAACTTGGCAAAAAAATGACATCTTTACTGGACCCACCTCCCAAGGGAACATGTCTCATCCCACCTCCATCTTGCATTGGACCCTGTAGCATTAAATGCTTTAAAAATCACTTTCTAGTAAATGTATTGCAACACTTACATTTCACTCAAGCTGTGTTAGGAGCATGGGGTGAGGGGTAGATGATAGGCCAGAGCATGTTCTAAAGAAGTTGCTTAGACTTTCCTGAGCATCTCCATTCCATTCTTGCTCCCAAAACCAGTTTCTAAAGCTGTTACCTGGGTAACAAACATGGCTCCAAGGGGTGGATATTACTTTGAAAGATTCTGCTCGAGTGAGTTGACCTCTGAGCTGCCCCCTGCACACAGCAGTGAAGGCAGGCCTTGGGCTGGGTGGTACTAAGCAGAATGGATGCAGGCAGCACTTTAGAATCCAGTCAGTAATTATGAAGCAATGCAAGGGTGTGCCAGTGTCACCTGTGAGCTGTGCCCCGTGGTCCAAGGTGCTACTCCAAAAGCTGGGAACCACCTCAAAGCCCAGCCCAGCATGCTGGACAGACCCCCACCCCCAGACAGGGCTGACCCCTAGAAGCAAGGCACCTCTCTTAACCAAGAAGCAACTATTCACAATTTAAGTGAATATAGAAGTATTTTATTGAACATTCAAACTTCATTAAGACATGTGCAATATGGCAAATTTTACTGGGTTTAACCCTACCTAAGACAATAGTATGATTGCTTGCTTGCTGGGGCTTCGCAACAGGGTCCAGATCACACTTACCACTAATTAAATACTTTATTGAATAAATACATATGAAACAAAAATGCATTTTAATGCTCTTATAAAAGTTTAAGAGATTTTGAAAGGCCTTTCCAATTCAATCTGAAGTGTAAGTACATACAATAAAGGAAGGTAGGCTAGTTTAACATAATTGGCTGACTTTATACAGCACTTATATCTTTTAGTCCATAAGTAAATTATTAAATGATAAAGAACATCTAATACAACCACTTCTATGGAACTAGGAAATAAATTTCTAATAAAGAAAAAATTTACAGACCCCATGACTTTCCACCCAACCCCAACAGTCTAACCCTAAAGTGGATAAAGCCAATGGCTTTCCCCACAAGAGCTCACGACAAAAAGTCGCTTCGCTTATCAAAAATCTGTATTTCTGATCCGTTATGAGCATTGAGACAAGATTCAGTATATCCCCAAAGAAAGAAGCACAATGCACGTGAATCGCCTATCAGCAACAGCGAGCACTGCATTCAAAACCACCTCATCCCAGGGATTAAATGAGATCAGCTACATTCATCGGCATCTCCTCCACTGTAGTATTGTAGAAAGTCTCAATGTCTCGCAGGATCCTCTTGTCCTCTTCAGTGACAAAATTTATAGCCACGCCTTTTCTGCCAAAACGACCACCCCGGCCAATTCTGCACAAAAAGAAAGCACATTTGCACACAAGTTAACTCCTCTAATCCACTTCAAACCGTGCCAAGATCCATTCATTAACTGTTGCTCTTATCTGCCACTGGCCAGTTCGTTTACAGGACTAGCTGCTACCAACATCATGTCTGCTCAGGAAAAACTAGCCATTAGTGCCAGCAGTGCAGAATAGTCCATCCTACGGAGAGTAGCAGAGCAGAAAAGGTTACTCTTGGCTGCAAAGCAAGATCTTTATTTAATGGTTGGTACCATGGTACGAAGCCCTCACTCAGCCTCCCTCCCCTCTGTTCAGCTAAGGCACCCACACCGCACACATGCGATCCCAAGCACATGGCATACAGAGATAAGCCACTGTTCAAAAATCAGACTGTTCCCACGTTAATCCAATTATATCCAGTAACATGGAACAGCACGCTCAACTTGAGAATTTTAATTCAATGTAACTGTTTCCAGTGGGAAAACTTAGGGTTTAGTTTTTTAAAACAGGAAAATCCAAGCTCAATATTTTTGTGTAAGCCCAAGCCAGTCACTAACGCATCACAGTACAGTCCCGTTGCACCCACCATCAGTTCTACCTTCCTGCAGATGGCACAATAAAGCACCCAGTCAGCACTAAATACACAAAAAAGGCTCACAAAACTTAGTGAATAATCATGACAAAAGAAATACATAAATACCGACTCGCTCTCTATTCAAACTGTGCCGCTTACGAATCCACGTCCTAAATTACGTCAACGCCGTTTCTGAGCACCATCTTGTGTCACCAACTGCTGCTATCGACTCCTGTATTTTTTTACATCAAGTAACAAAGCACAGTTTACTTAATTTAGGGACAGTCACTAGAAGCAGTTCACTAAACCTAGGGAAACAAAACTCAAATTGCTACCAGAAGACACGCACCACAGCAGAAAGAACGCCACTGTAAGAGGAGCTACCCGGAGTGAACACAGCACACGAAACACGAACACAGCCGGACCTCTAGAAGCGAGGGCAGCCCTGCACAACTGGTTTGCTAAGAACACTAAGGCCTCATCACTGAGGAGCAGCAGCAGCAACTGAAGATGAGCCAGGACCTGCAGCTGGAGCCAACACTGCTGTCAAGATGCTACGCCAGTGATGGCTTTGGCACTCATACTCTGCAACCTACGTGACAAAAAGGCAGTTCAGCAGCTGGCAATTCCCCCAGATCCCAGCCATGGACATTCGATTTAGCCGTCGCTGAACTCATCACACATCTAAGTTTTCCCACTGCTTTGTTTTACCATCCAAAAGTTCTGCTCCTCCCTCATTTCAGAGCCATAGCTGTGCAAGTCAAGGCTTTGTTAAAGCCAAACCCCAAGCAGTTTATTTCCTGCTAGCTTTTTAGCAGTTGCTGTACGAATGGATGCACAACACCTCCTGTTACTGGCAAGGACTAAAGGGAAAGACGGGTGAGGTTCTGTGCTGGTTTCCGCAGAGGACATGACAGCATATAGCACACTAGAGTGCAGAGCCAACTCACCTGTGAATGTAGTTTTCACGATTGGTCGGCAGGTCGTAATTTATGACCAAGGAAACTTGCTGCACATCAATGCCACGAGCCTGAAAACAACAGAGTCTTTAGTGCAAGTCACAGGCTTTAGATTCAATTATTTATCCCATGCTTTTGTCGACCACAAGGTTAGTGATGAACTACAACTGTGTAGTCCATCGTGGAGCGCAGTCCTTACTCTTCCAAGAAGCTCCAAACAGTTCAGGCTACAAGAACCTTCACTGAATTATGAAGCTTTTGGCACCAGATTTGGACAGAGATGTGTTCAGTGTAAGACAATACTCACCAGCAAGTCAGTGGTGATCAGGACACGGCTTGATCCTGACCTGAACTCCCTCATGATAACATCCCGTTCCTTCTGGTCCATGTCACCATGCTGTAGAGTTAAAAAGTTATAATTACTACAGTTCCCATACTCCAGTCTGGAATATTCCTTAAAAAACCAAAGTGATGTATGAAACCCAGCGTCCCTACCTGCTGTGGCAACAAAGCAGGTAGGGATAGAAGGAAGCATTTTTCTTTAAGCAGGGGGAACGATAATACAGCACTGCACAGCTATATTATAACTTTCCTGCTTTTCACTCAAACGTAGCTCATTATGATTCACTTTTCCATATGTACATCGCATTTCAGAAGTTACGTGGAAGTATCAATTCTTACCAGAGCTGAGACTGTGAAGTCCCTGGCATGCATTTTCTCTGTAAGCCAGTCTACTTTTCTCCTTGTATTCAGGAAAATGACAGCCTGTGTAATGGTCAGCGTCTCATACAAGTCACACAGAGTATCCAGCTTCCACTCCTGAACAGAACAAAGGAGATCAGGAAATGCATCTTGCCACTGACAGTTCAATACAGAACAAGAATCCCAAACAAGGACTAAAACTCAAAAGCAGCCACCAATTAAGCATGCTCTAGTGTGCAATGACATTCAGTATGGCCTGAAAGGTTAGAACAAGACATCAAGAGAAGTTTCTGCGTCAACTGTTGCACCAAATCTTAAGACACAGGACACTGGACATTAAGAAAGAGGTCCACCCTAGTCATTTTTGATCCAGTGCATAGTTTGTCTTCTTCTTGCGTGTACTCTACTAACATTATTACAGAAACCAAAGCTCAGCCTTGGTTTCTGCAATTTTAGTACAGTGCTTTAACAAGAAGGTAAGAGAACTTAAACTTAACTCGTCCAGCCAGAGCAAGTACAACTGATACCAACCTCTCTTTCGACATTAATGTAGAATTGCTTGATACCCTCCAGAGTCAGTTCTTCCTTCTTCACCAAAATACGTATGGGATCTCTCATGAACTTTTTGGTCACTTCCAACACGTCCATTGGCATTGTAGCTGACAGCAACACAACCTAGAATGCATTGCTCTGTGTTAGCATATGCCTAGGACACCAGCTTTGATTTAGACAATTCAGCAGTTCTCAGCTACACTGTAACCAAACCTGCATCCATCAATTTAACCACGCAAAAGTTTTTTACCTGGATGTTTGTGCTTAATTTTTGAAAGATCTCATAAATTTGATCCTTAAATCCACGGCTCAACATTTCATCAGCTTCATCCAGAACAAACATTTTGATCCATTTAGGTGCTATTAAAAAAAGAAAGGAGTATCTCATGAAGTTTCAGAAACATACCCAACACTTTTGTTTATTCAAGAGTCACTCTCCTTTAGGACTAAGCTTTCCAGTAC